TCTTCACCATGAAGCCATGACTTAAGTCAAAGGCGATTTCAGTCCCTCCTTACAATTACTTGTTTCTCCTCTGTACAACACTTGTTGCTTCATTTTATTGTGGCAAAATGGTTGGTTTGGCTGAGAGGATTTGCAGTAGCAGACCTCATCTCTCTAGGTTGCCACTGTCTGACACCTGGTGACATGCGTAGAGTGATCACTGTTGGAATGGATGGAACCCAACAGCAACAAGGGAGCACTCATGGTACTGGCTAAAAGGGTTTCTGGAAGTGTGGAAGATATCCTAGGAGTCTGTACAAGCTCCCTGAAGAGGGACACAAGCAGTGTTTAAGTGCAGTCCCATGTGACAGGTCTGGGGAGGACTCAAAGCTGTGATTTCAGCATAGCTGTGAGGTGTTATAATGCTTGAGAGCCAAAAGGGAACATCTTTGTGAACTTAATGGAATATCTTTTTGTCACTTGGCTATGACAGTGAGCATGGGGAAAATGAATGCATGTATTTTATTTCTGACAGCACTTTTCAGAAGTGCTGTTGTGGGTTGGTACCACCATTTGTGCATTACCCTGCACTTTTAGTGGCAAAAGAAATGAAACTGGCCTGGTTTTCTGTAGCTTTATTTGTTGTTCTTAAAACATTTCCCTAAAAATATTCTGGGATGACTCCACCATATTCATGAGTGTCCCTCAGGACTATCTTTCCCTGTTATGAGGTTACTGCAAAACAGCCAATTCCCCAGTTGGTACTAAAGAATCCTCACAGAGTTCAGCACTGCTGCCAACTCTGCTCCATCCATTGTGATTTGTCTGCCTGCCCAAGAGAAGCAGAGAGGCTTAGGAAGAGAGACGGCTCACAGAAATGGATACTGAACAGCAGCAGAAAGCTTCAAGAGCATTGTTCTTTTTTACCTTAAAGTAGAATGGAAAGTACCACGATTGTTTTCGCACAATCTTCAGGTTTTTTCCTTCCAGTTACAGGCTGAAAGTGGCAGCCTACATGTATTTGTTAACTGTCTAGTATTACTGATTTGTGCAAAGGTGTATTTGCTTTCAGCTAATGTTGTAATCAGTCAAACCAAACTAGTCTGATTATTAATTAGAAGCTGAATTGCAGTGTTGATCTGAAGCAGGAGGAAATTGTTCAAACTTCTCTCTACAATCTGCACTTACCTCTCAAGCTTCAGGAACATCATTCTTCTATATGGTTTTCCTATTCTGTCTTGATTCCTTGGCTTTGGCTTAGTATAGTCATGCTACTACAGTGATTTATTTCTGTAAGGGTAGCCAGGGAATTTCTGCCTGTCTTAGCTGATTCCCCTGCGGCTGCTCAGCAGCAGATGCCAGGAAAACCAAGAGCGTCTGACACAGCTCAGAGCTCTGTTAGAGCAGCTTCTTCCCAGCTTCTTCAGGAAGGAATCACCAGGCTCTGCTGGTGATGTTGCTGCCAGAAGGCACAGACTGCTGTGCTACAACCTCCTGCCTGCCACACTTCACCCCTGTGCTGGCATGGCAGGCTGTATCCTCTGCCAGTGGTGATTTGTCTCTCTCTTTTTGAGGCTTGCCAGGGCTCAGGTTGTGAGGTGCTTAACAACAAGATGAGATACAAAGGATTAAGGTGAAGGTGCACCCAATACCCCATGTACATGTTTATATTCTGGTATTTGCACACCATTCTGGTAATAGAATAAATATACCTTGTTGGTGTAACACGTTCAGGTGCTTCTAATTCTGGGGTCTCCGGGACCTCATGGTGGTCCTGGTCACACACCAGTTTGTGAGGAGCAATGCAGAGTTGCGAGAAATGTCTTCTCTTGATTAGAACTTTGGTATAATTCTTTTATACAGTTTTACCACTGTAAATTGTTGGTGCTTTTTGAGTACAACAATAAAACAACTTTGGGTAGGCCAGAATATTAATTGTGGATTTCAACCTTTTTGACTTGGAATGTAAAAAAAAAACAAGTTTCTTGTTCTGGAAAACGGACTTGTAACTTGTTCTTTGCTATTGCTTTCATTCAACAACAAATATCAACCACCCTTTCAAAACCAGATTGAACCAATTAAATTTGTGTCCTTGGAAGATTAATTGTGAGCTGACATTGCAACGTTCAGCTGAAGTCACTCCTTCATTTCCTTGTATAATTCTGCAAAATATAGCATTGATTCCTGGGGCTAGAGAAGACCTGTCTAGAAGGTGAATGGCAAAGACAAGAGAGTTTCTGAGGAAGCTCTCAGATGGTCTCTCATCCTAACAACCATTGATGATACTGATGTTATCAGGGAAAACTAATGCCCTCCCAGGGCAGGCTTGGGTCAGAGCCCTGTCTGTGGATCACAGCAGAAATACTGTGTCCTGGAGAGGGTGTTGAGTCTCAGTCAGCCCTTGCCTCCTAAGTTGCCTTTTCTCAATATAAATACTACTAAGTGTTCACCACCTGGAGTAGACTATGGAGTCTCAGCTTCAGAGTTTCAATATTAGGCCCTGTAGGTAGCAGGTAGGATGTCAGATCAATATTCCCACTATGTTCTTAGTGGGAACTGTGTGGAAGAGGGAGACAGACTGTTCAGATCACAAGAGGCAACCCCTACAGTGGACACCAGCTGCAAAAAATGAAAAATTAGGAAAGCTTT